AATCATCGATGGGCAGTGGTGGCACACACCTTTAATCCCAGCACTCAGGAGGCAGAGGTAAGTGGATCTCTGAGTTCGAGGCCAGCCTGGTCTACAAAGAGAGTTCCAGGACAGCCAGAGCTGTTACACAGTGAAACCTTGTCTTGAAAAACAAAACAAAAAACAAAAAACAAAAAAAAAAAAAGGAAAAGTTTTAGGGGGCTGGAGGTGGAGAGATGGCTCCATGGTTATGGTTAAGAGCACTGACTGCTTTTCCAGAGAACTCACGTTCAATTCCCAGCACCCACATGGCAGATCACAACTGTCTCTAACTCCATCGAGTTCCAGGAGACAGGACACTCATGGCAAAACACCAATGAACATAAAATAAACAAATTTTTAAAAAGGATTTATTTAAAAAAGAAAAAGAATTATCAGAGAAGACTTAGAAGTCTTCTGGAAAAGGTATTCTAGAACCCAGAGGTTCAGATCAAAAGGCAAAATATTATCAATCACAGCCTCAGGGAAAAAAAATGTTATATGGGAGCTCAAAATTCCTCTTGACCACAGGGAATCTTATTATGAATAGCTGGGCCTGTTAGAAGCAATCTCCTGTGACCTTTCTTTGGTTCTTTACACCAATGCTGTTACCATTGCCGGACAAAATCAACTAAGAGTGCTGCTTCCTGCCAGCTCATGTACTTTAAAGGCATCTTATTGCTTCAATGGATATCCCAATATTCAGTTTTTCTTCTAGAAACAAATCGAACATTTATTTGCAATGTGTTGACTACAGCCCGGAGCAATTCCACTTCCATTCCCTATTGCAACTTACCTGTCCTGTAGAGATACCTTCACACTTAACCAACAGACCCTGAGAAAGCAGGATTAACCCTTTAGTTTCCATTGAAGTAATTATCATATTCGGCTGAAACTACATATACTTTGTTCATCTTCCCGTGGAAGGAGTTTCCTAATGCAGAACATCATTCTGAGTCCCACAATGGATCTGTTTAGCTTATTGCTGAAACATACTTTCTGCAGTACAGAACCATAGCTAACACTCAAGGATTACCCTTTTCTAGAACCCAAATATTAAAAGCCATGTATTAACTCATTTAATCCTTACAAGCTCCGAGAAGCGGGTAATTTTCCTACTTTAAAAATATGAAAATAACTTGGCCATGGTAATGTCCCACATCAACTTGGGATCTTCTCTGGTATTTCCTTCATGTTCAATTGAGTATCAGCTCACAGTTCCCATGCTGGTTCCACAATCTGTATATATGCTTATGTTCTTAGTAATTAAAAAAAAAATACCTTCCTTGAAAACAGTGGAGTACTTTTTAAGCTTTATAGCACAAATAAACACCAACAAGTGTATAAAAAAATTCTGACACCTTTTTAAAGAATAAAGATGACAGGTTATTAATGCTTACCTTTTATTTCTTTTAAGCACATTCTTTAGGAAATTAAAGCTCATATTCTTGGGGAAATGCTGGTACACCTTCCACACAAATGAAAAACTTTTGTCTCTAGAATAAAGGTGAAGTTGTATGCTTTTCTCTCAGAACATTTAACCCTAGTTTTTCCTTCACTACACTAAGAAATGGCCAATCTCAAAAAACAGCTGCCTGAATTTTGCCAGAAAGCAATGCACTATTCAAGGATTTACGCTGCTATTATCCAGATCGCTGAAGTTGCAGGAAAATTCAAGCACAAACATTGCTGAACTCTCTTAAACCTCTCACCAGTGGAAATGTAAACTCATCCCATTTTACTTTACAAACTTACACTCAAGAAGTCATCAAAATTCGATTTAAGTAAGATTTATTGAGTGTGCACAGCCTGTCACTAGACATGTTGAATTCAGGCATACAACATATCCCAGCCTTGGGTACCTTGTGATCTAATTAGTAAAACACGGTTTAGAAGCAGATAATGAATCCCATGTCATTGCTCATTCAGAGCCAACATTAAAGAGCTGTAATTTAAGTAATCCAAAGCAGCATCTAATTCTAAAAATCATCGGTAACATTTATTGGGCCTTAGATAAAACCACTGCAGACAAGCCACAAAGATGAAAACACACAGCAACAGAAGGGAGCACTACAGATGATTTTTATTTTGAATCCTCTGTTTTCTTCTTATAATGGTCCGAAGCCTCCGCAATACCAGCTTATCAGAGAGTAGCATGTCATCTTGTTGTTCCAGATAATCCAGCAAATTTTCAGTCCATTCAAGTGCAGCTTTGTGGCTAATATGCTTCTCTGGATTCAGTTCTGCTTTCCTAGTCTTCCTGGAAGGCTTCTGCTCAGCAGCCACAGCCCGGTCTTCAGCACCTACAATGTCAGCCAACACCTGACAGTTTGAGTCACTACTCCGAGAGTCAAACCACTGCTCGATATTTTCAATGTTGACATGCTCACAATCTTCTGTATTCTGTAAAACGGTTGCTAAATTAGCAGCTAAAATGGCTCCTTCATCAATGCTCATGCTTGAATTGTCTTCATTGCCAGGGAAAAGCTTTTTCCACGCTCTGGTTATGGTATTTGATCTTATCATGTTCCAGGCTCTTGAGGCCTCATAAATTGCATCCAGCACTGTCAAATTCTTCCAGAACATTTTTGGGTCATTTCCTTCATTCATGTATCTCTGGATAAGTCCTGCTCGGTAATATCTTTTGACTGTGGTTAGAACTCCTTGGCTCATAGGTTGAATAAGACTTGCTACATTTGGTGGCAAATATTTCACAATTATCCTGCCGTCATCAGAGCTCAGCAGGTCTTCAGATGGATGTGCTGAGGGGAAATCTAAAAGCAGTACTGCTTTCTCTCGAAGCCCTTTGGATTTCAGGTGCTTCTGCACCTGTGGCACAAAGCACTTCTCAAACCACTGTTTGAAAACAGACTGCTCGATCCATGCACTTTTCTGACTGAAGTAAGTGACAGGAAGGTTGGAAAGGTCAGTGCCTTTGAATGCACGGGGCCTTTTTGCTTTTCCCACCACACAAAGGTTAAGCTTGTGCAGACCCGTGGCATTTGCACAACACATAATAATGATTCTCTCCCTGCTTGACCTATATTCCGAAGTACTCCGGTCAGGGTCAAAAGCCAGTGTCCTTGAGGGGAGACATTTCCAGAACAGTCCAGTTTGATCAGCACCATAAATTTGTTCCGGTAGGAGATTTTCTCTTTCCACAAATTCTTGAAAGTTACCACAAAATTCACTGGCAGCAGTTTCATCCCCTTTTAATTTTGCTCCTTTACCAGCAGCCTTTGGAATCCCGTGGCGCTGCTTAAACCGAGTGAGCCAACCAGATGAGGCATTAAAATCACCTTCCATCCCCAATGCATCAAAAAAGAACCTGGCTTGTTTTGCACAGATAGTCCCAGACACTGGGATCCCATCTGTTTTCTGTTGATTAAACCACTCTATCATAACTCTATCAAGCTCCTCATACGTTGATGACTTCATAGATTTACGTTTGGACACCCCGCTAGTAGGATCTGAACTGTTGGCATAGTTTATAATTCTTTCTTTGTTTTTTTTAATGTCGCGAACTGTGGATTCACCAATTCCATACACGACAGAAAGTTTTTTAAAAGAGTTGCCTTCTTCAAGCTTCTTAATGATGTCAAGTTTGTCTTTAATTGTCAACACCACACGCTTACGTTTCCCCAACATTTTAGTCTAGTAGTTTAGACAATTAACAACTTAGATTTGAACACAGAAAATGGAGGCTTAAGAGCCCTCAGCTGTTCCCTAGGGCTTAACAGATGGTGTAACAACTTTCTAAGGAAGTCTGAGTCTCTTCACTTGCATTTTAGAAATTAATCAAGTTCCTATGACAAGGGATAGCTCCAGTTAACCCTATTTTCTCACCTTCCTCCTTGCTTTTTTCAAAAACTGAAGCCTTACTGGAAACTATACTGCCCTACCAAGGAATCTAAAACAGTCTCATGGTGATCAACTTTTGCCATTAATGCAGGAATTATCTTTCCCTATGCCAATGTGCCAGAAAATAGTTTTACTCAGCCTTGCAAACTTGACATACAGAAACACGGAGCTGGGAGAATCACCGCCTGACTGTTGTCTTTGTCAGGCAGCCAAGTGTGTGAATGCTCTCTTCAAGGCAAGGACTCGGGTGAGTACCTATGAAAATCATAGCGACAGGAGGTGAGCTGTCAGAGTGCAAGTGGACAGGCAAACAACTCAGTACTTTAAACCAACGGGAACTTACACTTAATGGATTTGGCTACCGAAAGGGAAACAACGGACAAGAAGTGATGTCACATGATTCAAGAAAGGATTAAGAAAAAACTTCATTGGTGGAAATCAGGACCCACGGCTGAGCCTAGGGGGTGGCAGGCTGGGTGAAGACCATACAGTAATCCCGGTGGACGCTGATCTCCATGACCACAGAAGTAGCTGCTCGAGCCTCTCTGAAACCTACAGGAAAACACCAAACACGTTTTCTTTTCAGTATCAGTCCACGGTATTACTCATACCTACCCTTGCAACTGTGTCGAGGACATCACTGCCTAGCCACCTGACAGGTTAATAGACAAATAACGCTCGCAGGCACCACCCGGGAGCTGAGAGCCTACCTCCTGACACTACCAGGGCCTCTCCCTGCCCGGGCCAGCGAGCTCGGAGCTGGACGCTGGGCGAAAGTCGGCGGCAGGGGGTCACGGCCGCAGCCCTGCAGCGGGCGAGTGGTCACCGGGCGCGCGGGGCACGGGGAAGCGGGGCGCGGGCATCGCTCCGCCTGACCAATCCAGAACGCAGAGCCAGCGACGGAGGTCCCGAGCGAAGGCGACCCTGCTGGCCGCCGCAAGCCGCTCGCCTGAGCCGGAAGGCAGGGGATTAGGAGCGCGCGCGCGCCCCCGCAGGAACGTGGTGTCGGCGAGGGGGCGGGGATGCGCGGGCGAGCGCGCGGCGGGGGCGGGGCCTCCGCGGGGAGGGGCGGGGCTTGGCCAATGTTCCGCCTCCGGGCGCCCCGCTGCGGCTTCGGGCGGACGACTAATTCGTCTGGCCAGCAGGGGGCGTCGCAGGCTCGTTCGCGGTGGCGGGGTTTTGCGGCGGCTGAGGCTGGCAAGGGCCGGAATTGCAATCGCTGGGTCTGCGTTCCGGTAAGACCCGGGTCTCCGGGTGTCCAGGGAGCGCGCACGGCGGCGCCTGTTCGCTGCCACACGGGCCCGGTACCAGGGCGGGCAGGCATGGTGGAGGGAGCAGAGGACCTAATGCTGGAACAGCCGTCTAAGGACCAGCCCCTGCTGCTGTCAAAGGGGGAATTTCAAGGCTTCGACCTGGATCGGGTCTGGCGGTGTCTCCCTCCTTCCCTCTATCTCTAGTGTAATACTTTAAAAAAAAAAAAAAAAGTCCATCTTCCACAAACGCCTGAACAGGATTATCCTAACATATTTCTCAAGGCAATATTTTTGCTAAAAATTTTAGCATTCCGAGAGGGAACTCAAACTGAGCATTCACTCTGCAGAGGAAGAATGCTGGTTCCAAGCCCTTTTTCTGTCTCCCAAGACACATCTGCGCAGCTGTCCTGAGAATCCCACCCTTCCACTTTCTGGCGTGCTGGAAATCCCTTGACCTATTTGTGCTGTCACCTAGTGGCTTTGGGCAAGTCCTAGTTTTGCCTAAATGTAAAGCTCTCGCCCCCTTCTAGCTTCCAACCGAGCAATCCCGGCCGTTCTTCTGCAAGACCATTTCGAGTAAAGTACAATTTCACGGTAGTTTTACATTGCTTTAAACAGATGACTTTCCCCTCCTTGTTTCTAAGCAGCGTGAAACACTTGCACCTGTTCACTGCTTAACAGACAGCAGAGCTGGCTGTCACAGACTGCCAACCTCCTGGAAATCAGGTTGCCCGGCATCGCCAAATGGAAGCTTACCTGGCTTTCCCCCTTTCCCCTCCTCTCTCTGTCTCGTGGGGTCACTTTGGCCTTAAAAAAAAAAAAAAAAAAAAGTAAATCCTGCAGGCCTACCCCACTTTCTGGAAGCGAATTTCCTTCTCTATAGTGTTTTTGTGTCATTGTGTATCTACCTGGTGGGTGTTTATTTTTGTAGCTGTGCCCTGTCACTCAATTCTATTTAACAGACTTTTACCAACACTCTAAGGTGGCTGTGCTTTCACAGGGTTTAGTTCCATCTGGTAAGTGTCTCCTTTTGGTGGGGTTTGGGGGAGGATAGGGTAAGTTGTGGGTTGTGGCCTACTTAGAGTATAAGGTCCGAAGTCAGGTGCCTAAGATGTGTGTGTGATCCTATAATTGTGCATGTGCCATACGTTCGTCTAATCGTGTAGAAGGCACACCACCAAGAGTCAAGTTTGATGGCGGCTGTGGATGGTGTGTGGTAATGGTGTCAATGTCGGTTCACAGTTGTGACGGGTAGCAACACTCTGGTGTAGGTGTTGATAATGGGGCAGCAGCATGTAGATGCTGTCTTTTATTCAGTTTTCTTGTGAACCTAAAATTCCTTGAAGAAACAGCCTCATTCAGCTTAGCATGGTGCTAGATGTCTGTAGTCCCAGTTATTTGGGATTACTTGTGTCCAGGGCTTTGGATCCTGCCTGAGCAACCCAGGGAGACATGTTTCCAACAAAGAAGCAATAAATTTACTTTCACAAAGAGATAGTTACAAAAAGTTTTTTGTCTAGCATGCACAGATTCCTGGGTTCATGTATAAATGGGGTCTTATAGTACATGACTTTAGTCCAGCTCTTAGGATGTAGAAAGCAGAAGGATCAGAAAGTCAAGGTCATCCTAGGCTACACTGCAAGTTAGAGGCCAGCCTGGGCTACAAAAGACTCTGTCGAAAGAAAGAAAGAAAGAAAGAAAGAAAGAAAGAAAGAAAGAAAGAAAGAA